TTGAGATGGTAATACATAAAATCTGCATGTAAAATCTGTTTCAAATATATTAATTGTGTATGTAATTAATGTTTATCTATATTCTAATGTGCAAATTTGTCATAAATTTTCCTTTCTTTGATAAATGAATTAATTTGAAATGAAAGCCCAAAATAAAAGTGTAACGCCAAAACTGGTTTTAATTAAAGAAAACCTTAAAAAATTTCCGTAAAAAATACTTTGGCACAAATTTCACACCTACTTTATCACGATTCGCTATGATAGTGAACACGTTGTACGCTGCAGCATTTGAAAACGTAAGAAATATAGGGCTAGTACTGAATAGAAAGAAAAATAGAGCAACTATGTAAGTAATTATTCAGTTAGTTGAACTGAACCTATCTCATTTTCTCTTTTTCTGCAAACAATGGAAACAACAAGTGGCTTCGGGAGAACGTCGCTCGTTCAATCAGTCTTCCAAACAAAGCGTTTGAGATCGCAACGTGAAAAAAAAACTTTTAATTTTGCTTGTGTAGATCTGACACTCTATTTATTGTGAAGTGGTGCTTTTAGACAATTCCGTTCATTAGATTGCGAAGTAAATTTATTCACTAGTAAAATTTATGTGCATCTATTACCTCGATTTATTGGTTTGCCATAGAGTTACTCCGGGACATGCCCTGTTAAGGGATTTTCTCGTCTCGAGGGAGACTTGAATGAAGCACGTACAAAGCTATCGGGTTCCTTTTGACGCGTCGGAAGTCTTTAGGTCACGACATGAAGACGAATCGGTTGTTATTGAATATATTTGTTATCATTAATCTGTTTTTAATGGGTAAGTTTATATTATATACATATGGTGATTATTATAATGTAATGGTTGAACTTATGTTATTTTTGTAAAAGAAAGGAACAAATTGATTTTTGTACTAATTTCTTAAAATATATTGAAAACTCAAAGATTGTGTTGGATAAAAATGATTAAATATATAATTATAAATTAAAATTAATAAGAATGATAATAAATTATCAGATATCTTTTTAAGATTTAGTAAAGAAAATACCTGAAGACCTTATAAAGTTTAATTAAGTATATAATTCTTTCATATTACTACATTTCTGTTTTTAGTTTTTTTTACTATATTAGCTCTAGTAGATACACCACTAGGGGGTATCTATCAATTTGTAATCAACTAATTGTAAACAACTTGTCAGCATGTTCTGCTTAATGTAATTATATATACATATTGCAGAATAAAATTAAATAAATAAAAAAAAGATTTTTAAAATTTAGTTGACAGTTTCATGTTCTATCCCAAAACAAAGCAATCTTTAATTAGCTGGAATAATTTCCTATGCAAGTTTTCTAATTAAATCTTTTTATAGTCCTGATTCCATTATAATCAATCAATATTCAGAAAAAAATATTTGAATTCTATTAATTAAAAATAATGCTAATTAATTTAAATTGGTGTTATTGATCTAGGGCCTGGTTGTACCAGAAGTTGAGCTCTTGAAATTTGAATTTAAATTTTGAATTAACTAAAATAGTAAAAAAAATACATTTAGAAATCGTAACGTGAATAGAAGTGAAAACTGAGCAAAATTAGAAAAAAATGAAATTATTTAATTTTTAATTTTAATTGAAGAAGTTGACAATCTATCCCAGTCTATCAATCCTATCTCAGAATAAAGCTTTTACGATTGACCTGGAATAATTTTCTATTCAATTTTCTAATTATATCTATTTTATTCTCCTGATTTCGTAATATTATTATTATTATTATTATTATTATTATTATTATTATTATTATTCAGAAATAAAATTGACAACTATTAAGTGAAAATAATACAGATTAATTTTATTTGATATTTCTCTTAAAAAGACCAAAAGATAAACTTTTAAAATTTGATTTCGTTTATCGATCGATTTATAATTAATAAACTAGAGTTGTAAAATAATTACAATGCAATACCAATTAGAAATTGTTTTGTACTTTCCTCTATCTATTTTATAGTCCTGATGATTCTATTGAAATCATCCAATAATCAGAAACAAATTGGTAACTAATAATTGAAATAAAGCTGCAAATTAAATTTATTTTGCATTATTTGTCTTAAGCCTGTTTGCACTAAAAGATGAGCTTTAGAAATTGGCTTTCGATTAGCAACCGAATTATGAATAAAAAACTAAAAAGGATGAGAACAAAAATACAATAAAAAATTGTATTGGTTTTATTAAGATGCAAAGAAGAAAATACCGAGCAAAATTAGGAAAAACTGCAATTATTTATCAATTAATAATTAATTCTTTGTTAATTAATTCATTTCATTATATAGATCTAAATATGATATCAAGTGAATTTGCGTTTAAGAAACATTTCTAGAAAAAAATAATAAAAATCAAAAAACATTATATGCAAAATGCATCACAAGTGGAAAGGTCAACTACAGTATTGTCTTCTAAAGAGTAAAAATGGGAAGAGTGCTTATTAATTTTGTTTGTTATTTGTCCTAAAGCTTGATTGTACCAAAAAATCTGCCCTGGAAATTAGATTTTAATCAAATTATAATTAATAAACTAAAATGGTAACAAAAATACAATGCATTACCAATTATACCTAATTATATTGGTTTTATTGACGTGCGAAGGAGAAAAAATTGTGAGGAGAAAAAAAACTGCAGGTATTAATTTTTAAATATCAATGCATCTTGTTGAAATCATTCAGAAAAAATAGAAGAAAACATATTATATAATTTTAAGAAAAAGTAAGAAAGTATATCTTGCTAAATCTATCCGAAAAGGAATTAAATGACACAATAGCATATTTTCATAAGATTTTTAAATTATCATTTATTTTATTATTGACTTATCAATAGAAAATAGTAAGATAATATAACAAAAAAATATAACTGAAAAATCTTCACTTTTATCGTTAATTAAAGCAGCAGGGAAAATATTTTACATTTACACTTTCGCGTGGCACACAATCCGTAAAACAGACTTTCGCAATTCAAAGCGTGAAATTACTAATTTATTATTAGAGTACCAATGAAAATTGCACATGTTAAGGTTTCCCAAAAATAAATCTTTATTGTAAGTTCTATACATAAAATAATAGAATATTGCAAAATCAGTCTGAAATCATTAAGCAAAATTACGAACTAAATGACTTGTTTACATGAAACAGATTCATTAAAATCTAGTAAAAATTTCATATATATCCTTTCACTACTTTTTATTTATATCGATTATCAACATTCTTCTCAATTCAATTGTTCTGTTTTTCTTGTAAATAGTGTTTTTTGTATCTATCTTTTTTGCGTGCATAATTTTCGACAATACCAAACAGTCATATAATTTGCGTTCACTTTGCAAAATATTTTTACACATTGTAGATAAAGCTTCAAATTTGCAGAGAAAGAAAGTTTAGATTATATCGTGGAATACCGGCATAGAAAACAATAACAGTGATATGATTAAAAATTCTCTATTTGAAAATACTACTACAAACCGTGAGTTAATTAATCTGAAAACAAATAAGATGCGTTCATTTTATTGTCACGTAATACGCACTATTAGAGAATAGTTAAAATCTTTCAAATCTTTTGAAAATAATAAGCATACTTTTAATGAGTGCGTATAGATTAGTATATGATATCGAGTCTTAAAACAAATTGCTAACATCTTGTAACGTAATTTTTTTCTGAAAGTTTTCAAACATTTTGAAAATTTTGAAGCTCTCAAGTCGGTTGATCCATAAATGTCGAGAAATATTAAACTGAATAAGTGAACTTTAAACATTATAAATATTGGTACGGAACCTAAATAATTGGTCATAAAATTAAGATTTATTATTAAAATCTTTATAAAATATCTGATATATCAATGTGCATAGGGTAGAAATGGGCTTAAAGGTCTGCGGGTATAAAGATCCACCACCGATATCTCAAAAATCAGTAAAGTTAAAAAATTTCTAACGACAATATTTGAAAGTAAAGCGAAAAAAATGTATAACCAGACACCACTTTGATTCTTACAACGTTACTTTCGATGAGAAAAACGGCAACGTTTAAAAATCCATAACAAAAGTATTTTCTTGCATTGTTATTTGTTTTGCTATTAACTTTGGTTGCACTATTGCTTAGTTTTCCAGACTTTTATAATTTTTAATATAGTTCTTGTAATGATATATTGTTAATTTCAATGTAAACGTTATTTAATGATGTATTGTTAATTTTAAGTAAGATTCAACAGTCTTTTTTATATAACCTCTATAATAGCTTACACCTGACAAAGAGACCAACTAAACCGTGTTGTCTCTGTAAAAATGCATGCTTGTAATTTAAATTTTGCATTGGTTGAATATTGTAGCTATTATTTCGTAAAAATCCTTTCAAATCAAAATTGAACATGAGACCTGTTTGTCCCCTGACAGTCCCAATGAACCAAATTTTTAGAAAACAGCAAAAAATCACATTTAAAAAAAATTGCTGGGATTTTTACTGAACATAGTCAGATAGTTGTTTGTTTGATATGTGTTATATGTTATGATACAATTGTTTTCCACTTCACAATATAATTATTCAATATCAAATTGGACCTTCATGCCCCCGACCTACCTTAAATCTAATAATTATTTTTCACCACCAAATTGCATTTTTTTCAACTTTTTAGGGCTGCCATCGCAAAAATTAACTATTTCTTCACTTCGTCAATACAAGTGAGAGGTTTTTTGAATTATCCAAATTAGACAATCCGTTTCTCTTAAAAACCGAATTGCCATTTTGGCACTTTTTGCCCCCATCTTCAAAACGACTGAATCTGCCTTTGCCAAAAACTAATCAGCACGTCGTCCAATTTTTGCGATTACTATAACTTACCGTACTGGTTATTAAATTAATAAAAAATAATATTACCAATAATATTAGCAATTAAAAATATGTACTTCAAATAATTAAAAAATATGAACTAAATGTATAATAAATATATTAATTTTTCTTTTAATATTTCCATTTAGCATTCGCGGGTAGATATGATAGTCGGTGCAGTGCTAGATTAGAAGCTGCATTAGATTTAATGAGGAAAAGACAAGCAGCCAGATCTCAGAGCAAGGTGAGACATTTATAATTTAATTTATTTATAAAGCATTTTTCCTATATTTTTAAGTACTAAGATGTTTGTTAGAACTACTTACAAATTAAAAAAAACATATCGGTGACGAACATCCACAATTATTCACTATGTTATGTATTAACATAAAATGCAAAACAATTTCCTTATAAAATCAATATGCAGGAAACACAAGGTCTTCTTATTACGGCAACCAAGTAGTTTTTATGCAACGGTTATAAAATGCATTCATCAACTTCCTGATTTATTGAAGGTAGCATAATGCAACGTTAAAAAAGCGCCGAATCATAGCGCGAAAAAAACATTTTACGTTATATATTCCAACATTGACCTCGAAATGAATTCAAAAAGCATGAAATTAGCTGTGGAGAAAATTGGCACCGAAGGATGACGATGATAAAGTATCTGCGACAAGAAAAAGTCACACATTAATGGACAGAGATGTCCAAGCGATCGAAAATATGTACATAATAATTAATATTAAATAATTATATAAATATAATTAGTAGTACTACTTATTATTATTATATATATGGGTAGTATAGCCCTAGGGCAGGTCCGAAAACTGAGTTCAACTCCAACTCGATTCAGGAAACAATAGCGTGAGAAATTTTCCATTGCCATTGCACACTGCAGTGCCCAAAATGGGCTATTTTCAAAGACACATATTTTTGATCTACACATTCAAGTGAAATTAACATCGCTACTGCACGATGTCAAGTTGTCCAGAGCGGGGTTCAAAACCACGACCCATAGAACCAATCAGAAGAGATAATTCTTATGAAATATTTAATTCATTTTGATATGCACAAAAAACGGTTGCGTAAAAGTACTTCATTTAATGGAATAAATAATAGTTATTATGTTATAAACTTAGAAAAATAATCAAAACCATGACCCGTTATTTGGATATCATTCAATACAGTATTTTACAACAAATCGTAAAGAAATAAATTGTAAAGAAAAACCAGTCTGCGACCCGAATGATGTCTTGGTTTCGATTCAGTAATTGTTTTGTTCACTTTTGTCTTTAGTGCGAAATTTCTAGAGCACACTGATGTTAATGGTCCCCATGTAGACTAATGGTCATTAATATACGTACTAGTATTCATTATATTAAGATGCAAGTACAGAAATTATTATAATTGTGTTGTTCTTTTTATAATTATTTTGAAGTGAGTGCAAATTGTAAGCAAAGCTTTCAAATCCACCGACCTTTCACCCACCCACGTATAATTTTGTAAATTAACACGAGAAATAGGCATCTAGACAGCAAAGAATTATAAAAATACCAATTATAAAAATAGCATGATTATAATCAATTCTGTACTTGCTCCTTAATATAATCCATATAAACATCCATATGCACAGCAATCATAAAATGACAGTAATTTACTTATTTTAGAATAATAATATCATTTATAATTAATATCATTCGTTAAAGCGGAGTATAAACTTTCCACAGAGTAAGTTATAGTAATCATCCAAAAATCGAAAATGTAATATTTTGCATGTCTTTACGTTTCATTTGTCTGAACAAAGGCAGGTTCAGCGGCTTTGAAGATATGGAGAAAAAAGTGAAAAAAATATATTTTCGAGCAGAACAGATCAAACGATTTCATTGAATCAAAAAGCTTTTGATTCCAATTGAGGGTTGGAGATGTGTTCGTTAGGTTTTGGCCAAAAACGGTCCAGCAGTTCAGGAGATACGGAGCAAAAAGTGCAGTAAATAGAAATTAATTTTTAGAAAAAATTAAAAAAAAACAGTAACAAACTCGTTTCAAATTTTGATTCATTTCAGTAAAATTATTTAGTTGATGACAGTTCGTTTTATATGGTTACTGTGCATATGGAAATAGGTTTTAAATACAAAAATACCAAAAAATATCGACAGCTTTTCAAGCTAATTTGGCGATCTAAGGATGAAGACAAAGCTCTATTTAATTTAGCTAATGCTTATCTAAGGAGCTTTAGCTATAATCGTTTTTTAAGGATTTTTGGACCCCCACTTGGTGATACTTAGTGATATTTAAAATGATCCCCCTGCCCGACCAAACGTTACAAGTGGTTTTAGTACCAAAAAAAACGTATTTTATTAAGTTTTTTGGAAAAACATTGGATTTTTTTCCAAATTCAGGTAAAAAAACTAGTAGTGTATGGCATCGTGCCTCAAGGCAAATTGCTGGAACTTCTCGCACTGTAATGAAATATTCGAGAAATATTAAATGTTTTCAAATAGATCATTATAAATACTATACTTATATATCTTTACAGAAAAGTAAATAAACAAAATTTAAAATGAAGGACACTGTCTAATATTTATAAGAATTACATAAACTAAATAGCAAAGTTAAAATTATTTATTTGAAGTATTTGAGTGAGATTTAGTACTGCAGCTAGAATTAAAACTGCAGCTGAAATTAAAATTCGAATTATTTTCTATATTCAAAAAAAATTTTTTCGGTAATTAAAAAAATCCAAAAGCAATCGTTGCGTCAACACAAGTAGAGGGCTTTTTAAATTATTCAAATCGGATGCTTAGTTCTCTCAAAACCTGCAATTTTTTGCACATTTAGCTAGGTATCTCTGAAACGGCTGGACATGCTTTTGCCGAAAACTAATCACCACTTCTCCCCGTAATTACAAATTGAATGTTTTTAGGATTATTCAAATCGGATGCTCCGTTGTCTCAAAAACTCGATTTTTATTTTCTGCACACTTAGCTGTGTCTTTGCCAAAAACTAATCAGCGCACCTCTATATTAATAGGAATCGAGTGTGTCAAAATGTTCAGAAATGCCAAAATGATCAGAAACCTTCAAAACGTAAAGAAATATAAAAAATTTCAATTTCGATTTTGTGACAATTACAATAACTTACCCTACGGGAAGTTAATAAATACGCAAGATATCTTACAAGACTCTCTCCTCTCCCACGTGATATTTCGTGATTTCTTGTCAAACCGCCCCTTCCCCTTTAAGCCCCACGTGATTAATGGACGAAATAAACCCAATCAAATATTTATTTGATTGGTCCCGCATAAATTAGATAAGGGATCGTTCAAGTATTACGTAAGCAGATTTATTACAATTATTTACCCCCCCCCCATCCCCCTTGTCAGCAAAAGTAAGCAAAGCTCTTACCCCCTACCCCCATGCTTACGTAAACATTTTACAATTAATGTATTGTTTTTTTTTAAATATTGTAATTTTTAGGTTATAATTATAATTTTAAAAATAAGAAAATAGATTTAGGATGTAGAGATTTTACTGATATGGTATTCAACATAGAGTAACAAAATTATTATAATCTTTTGAACATAACAAACTTATTTTAAATTTTTGGTACTGGCAAAGACAATGTAAGGTTGCCATTCGGTAAAAAAATAAAAATACTATCTATGACGTGATCATCATCCAGACTCCCTGCCCCCCATGTCAACCCAAAATAAGCAAATCAACAACCCCTCCGCCCCCCTATAGTGCTTACGTAATACTTGAACGGTCCCTAATTTAATTATTGCTAAAAAAGCTATTTGTCGCTATATACACGCATCTTTAATTATTCAAATCACAGGAAAACATATTGTAACAATAAATCATTCACCATCAGATAGAAAATGATTTAAACCGGCTTACAATCGAGAAGCCAATGCGATCCCTCGACTCAGACGTCGTGATAAGCGAGCTGCGCGTGAGGATGCCAAGTAAGCCGTCTTGGGTTCGGGTCGATCGATGCGCCTTCAACGCCGACAACTCCAGCCTGGACACGAAGCTGCTCTTCCCCGATCTCACGATAAGTGGAAGCGTGTCGCTCAGGCCGCGTGGCGCGACATGCAACATGGTATTGCGATTGCGAAGGTACCGTATAAAGTAATAGATTCTTTACGTAATTTTAAGGTAATTTACTTTTAAATGTATTCATGGAAAATAGTTTGCACCAACTATTGAGAAGTCAGTGATAATGTAATTTTTAGATCACAAAAGATTTGGGGTCTGGATTTTATGTGAAAACAATGGCAAAAAATATAAAGAATATAACAGGGAGTCCTAATAAGTTCAATTCATTTTGACAGTGATCATTGTCTCCAAGTCTCTATAAAATTATGCAATTTAGATTGATGAAAATAAAAACAGTAACGAAACTAGTAAGTAGCATTTTGCCTTTAGGCAAGTTGGATGAACTTTCCGATTCATATACATAATCAAATTAATTTATAAGAAATTAATTGAAATTCAGCTAATTAGATAAAATATTCAACTGTTTATTACTAAAATAACATTTTTGCTTTTACTAAAAATAATACGATTTCCAATTGATGTCTCTTCGGAATATTACTTATAAAATATGTAATTGTATAAATTACTTAATTTGTTAAACGCATTGCACTTCTCTTTTTGTGGACGTCAGCTGTAATCAGTAGCTTACAAAAACACGAAATGTTCAGTCATTATAGTAAGTTCACCTCGGAATTCGAGATGCCCAGCTGTAAGTCTGTAAATACTTGTATTTTGGACCCTAAAAGTTGTCACAAAACCTACATATATTGCGTATACTCTACCATATGTAGGCTTTGAGACAACTTTAGGGTGCAAAATACCCAGACTTACAGCTGGGTATCTCGAATTTCGAAACTCTTACCTAATTTAAGCTTAAATGACTGAACTAAAACGTTTTTAGATGTTCGGCATAGATTCTGATTAGAATCGCCCAAGCTCACCACAAAAAATTCTAAGATTTATAATGTAAGCTAGTCCTAATCGAGTTACATACAATGGCTTAAATTTTTTAAATCGGTGCAGTCATTTTTGAGATAACCTCGAGAAATGATCAAGAATCAACTCACGTACACACACAAAAACTTTTACCAAAGATCTCATTTAATTCAGAATTTCTTGAAACATAAATAAGCAAATCGGATTTTCTCGCGACAACAAACTTGGCCTTCGAGAAGTTAATAATTCTTGAAAATATATAAAATGTTAACGTTTTGGAAAATATAGAAATATATAAAATCATAATAGATATGAAAAGCAATATCAATATTTATAAATACTTTTCTGTAATATGGAAGGTATTTAAATTATTGAATCCATGATTGTTTGTTCGCTAATCACATTTACAGTTATTTATATCAGTTAATATTGTTGAGTTAAATCCATTTTTAAGGGATTCATAGGTTGAGGTAAGCGCTAATTTTATAACCAGGAGTTTCGGATTGATGCCCTAATTTCGGATAGCCTTAAATCAATCAGAAGTGATAGTCGGTTTTCACCTAAAATATAGACCCAAATATATTTCATATAAAAATGGTCTTTTAAAGCAGTGCTTCAATATCATAGTTCAAAATTATGTTTTTGGATTGTCTTTAATAGCGTTAGTGGTAAAAATATAAATTCTGCTGGTAAGGACAATCATTAGATTATTTATCTAAAATATAAGTCTCTTAATTAATAATTAAAATAATAATAAAAACGATTATATGATTACATTGCAATATATGGTTACATAGCATTCCTAAAAGTCAAACGTAAAAATTCAATTTAATTCACAACAACTTATAGAACACTTATAGAACTAGTTCTATGAGTAGATACGCATATATTTCAGGCTTGTTCAGCATTATATAACAAAAATTGAGTTATATAACTTCAACTCAGATGTAATTTTAATTGCCATTGTATTAACTTCCTAAATATTTAAGCAAACTATGTATGAAAACATTTATTTTAAACAAATGCAGAGTATAATAAAAAAAATTTGTTTAACAGAGCGGGAATACGTTTCACAACTCGACCATTGTCGCGATCTGAAGGAAGCGTCAGCGTTCGTACGGATTCTCAATTCACCGAACCAGGTATTATATAATTTTAAAATTCATAAAGAAAAAATAATCTATTTGCTTGTGCAAAATCTTAGTAAAAAAGTGAACTACAAGTTCTCTACAATTTTATTTTCGATTGATCATTTATAAGTAAGAATACAAGAAATGATAATGTGAGAACTAACCAATTAAAGGTCATTGTTATGAAGGTATATCTCAGTATTTCCTGAATTTTAGTAAAAGTAAACAATGTTAATATAAAAAAATCGAAAGTGCTGCTAATAATTAGCACTGAATAAATTTACATTAACCATTATATTTTAACTAAAACTGGCTTTTGAGTGTTATTTTGATTCAAAGAAGATATATCAATTTCTAATTATTCTTCTCTGCCATCTGGTATATTATAATCTCATGCAAAATTTTACTTGCGTTTGATTTATATTTTTGATATGTGAACAGAAAAGTGTCAGACCAATTGAATGCAATTAAATTTAACTAATAATTTAAAAATTGCTAGGTTTCCTAAGTGTTTTTGCTCACGGTTGTGAGGTAAGAAATTATCACCAGCACAGAAGAAATTCAAAGTATCTATTTCATGGTGCCAACTATGATCCATTCTTGGATCGTGATTTTGATGGAAGAAGAGACAGAAATGGAAAGTACAGATACGACTCACGTTATTATAACGATAGAAATGATTATCAAGATGAATATTATGACAGGCAGCATAAGAGTCACGGAAGGTAAATCTATCTTGCTTTTGTTCAAATTGAACTTGCTTTTATTTATAATGTGAATTTGTAAAGTAATGTAAATAAGTCCATTCAAAAGAAGTAAGCTATTCTTGAATAAACAATTAATATTCCACTTTGTTATATTTATATACTATTAAAGTTTATAATAAACTAGTTGGTATTGGTATTTTGCCTTGAGGCAGTTACATGAACTTCCCGATATGTGTAAATAATCGACTTAATCAATAACAAATAAATTAATTATGAGTGTTTAAAAGTATTCCGAGTGTATTTATTACACATAATTGAAAAGGAACGAAGACATCAAACGGAGTATTTTCTAAAAGCAAATTTTCAAAAATCAATAATTTTTTAATTGAACCAGTTTCCATAGGACTTTGATTTATTACGTTTATTAAGACCAAGTACTCTATCGTTATACCAAGTTATACTCATTTTCTCAAACTTTGATGAATTTTTAAAATTGAGATACAAGGCATTAATAATTCAGTAAGTTCTATAAGACCATGGTATATATCGCCAAAAAATATCCATAAAAATCGGATTAAATTTTTTTCAACAGTTAATTACAAGAAAACGGCTCGGTAGAGTTTTACCGAAAACTAATCAGTATCATTCCCAAGTAATACCTTTCGAACAGTTTTTGATTTTTGAAAATCGATTCGGTAGTATGAGCTTAAATGTGGACGAAAAGTTTAACACTTTCTTCCAAATTTCAAAGAAACGGCTCGGCCGATCGTCGCACAAAACTGGCAAGCGATAGTCCTCATTGAGACATATCAAATGATTTTTAAATTTCTGAAATCGGTTCAGGCGTTTTTGAGCAATCATCGATGAAAAGTCTAATTTTGACAAATGCCAAAAAAAACGATACTAATTTTTGCAAACTTTGGCAAATTTTTAAAGCTAAGCTAGTTGTCGTAGGGCCGTAATATTTTAGTATGATCTAGAAGACAATGGTATCTACCGTCAAAAAAATAATAATAAAAATTGTCGAAAAAAAAAATTTAACACTTTATTACAAGAAAACGGCCGATCTCTACTAAAAACTCATCAGCACGATTCCCGACCAATATCTTTCGAACGGTTTTTGAATTTTCAAAATCGATTTAGAACTGCGGGCTAAAACGTGGACAAAAAATTTTTCACTTTACTGTTATTTACAAAAAACGGCTTGGCTGATCGTCGTGCAAAATTGATAAACGCCTCATCGCGATACATCGAATGGCTTTTAAATTTTTGAAATCGGTCTAGCCGGTTTTGAGAAAACGTCGATTTACGGCAAAAAATCTATTCACATACACATACACATACATAATTTTTCCAAATTTGGTCTTTTTCGATTCAGAATGGCTTGAAACGTCGAGAAAACATAAAATTAGCAATTCGGATTTTTTGATGAAAACATAAACTTCTCTTTCGGGAAGTTAAAAAACGGAATTGATTTAAGAAGTCAAAATTATTACTCATAATGTAATATATTATCATTTGACTTTATATTTTATCAGATCCGGATTAGGAGATGATCGATTCACTGTATACGACAACGAGCCTGAAACTCGACAATCCAGAATATTCGATGTATTCGAATCAGATTTCTACGGAGATACAACTGATGATGGTGAATTAGAACTTGGTGAAGATTTTGGTGACGATGGAGGCGGCAATGAAGTAACACGTGAAATGGAAGATATATTCTCGAAAGGAATTCGAGGATTGCTTACATCCTACATGCAAAGAGCTCTACAACCGGCAATTAAAGAAACATTGATGTCCAGCATGGGGTACACTATATCTTATGGTTAGAAAGTGTATGAAGAAGTAGTAAAATTGATTAAGATTGTTTATATATAGTGTTTTCTGAACAATTTATGTCTGCCTCAAGGATAAAATGTAAGCTAATTATAAAAAGGTAAATTAACCAGAAAATTCGTCCATTATTATACGAATTGCTGTATGCATTTCCAATTCAGAAAATGTAAAACTAAAGCTTATGATAATTAAATTCAAACTAAAATGAGCAAACATTTTAGAAAAAAATCTCCTAATGAAATTTAACACTTTCGAAGATTGTAATTGAGAACCATTTGAAAGCTACATGTAATCTTTATAATATAATATTATATAGATTTATGTATAAAGATATTATATAACGATGTTATAAAGAACAGGATAAAAAAATCTCTTCGTGTTAGAGCGTAAGACATTATATATATTTAAGTATAGATAATATAATATATAATAATATATTTCAAAACCAAATATGTAAATTAAAATTATTATTAAAATAATTGCTTTAGTAATACATACAGTTTATAAATAAATATGCAAATTGAATGTTAGATCACTCATAAAAATAATTTCAAATGTGTGGTCACACTCACCTCATATATAATTTCAAACTTCAAGTCAAAATTTCTGCATGTTCATTGAGTTGTTACTAGTTTTGATTGCATTGTTTGGGATATAGAGCTAATTATAATATTTATTTTAAAACGTAATAAATATAAATATTTTCTGTTTATTCAGACTTTTTATGAAATTCCTATTCCTTACTAATATAAAAACATACTATAAAAAACAAAGACAATAATAATTATACACAATCACAAGAAAACATTTTCAAACAAAAGTATCACACGTCGCCATCAATAGATTTGCGCACAGGTGAATATATAGCTAGAATAAATTCATAAGTAAAAAAATTTAAAGTTGTTCCTATCATGGATTTAATAGCGGATAACATGAATCCTTTGTAATAGCCGGATACACCTTCTTTTCGAAATATTATCTTCAAACAGTGCCAAAACCCTGCACAGACGTAGAAGGATCCAGTGGGAACACTGAGGAAGGAAAAAGGATGAGGAAAAGGATAAAGATATAAATTAATCTACAAAAAGGTATTAACAACATAATTAACTCTTTCCACTCGCAAATTCTGCTTGAAAAGGGTTAATTTAATTAATAATTCATAAGTAGCAAGCAAAATATGAGTTCAATTAAAATTCGTAAAACCTTATTTTATTTAAATTTAATACAATTATATTTATTTACGATATATATGTAGTAACGTAAATGTTACGAACTTTGGTGTCAATTCTGTAAAATAGACGATAACATTGCGTTGTTATGGCAACGCTCTGTTATACTTGCTTCTTGATACTAAAAACTGTGAAAATGCGTAAATCAGACGTTTTACACATAAAACCGTATTATAAATACGCATCCCAATTTTTTATGTTTATGTAAGCAAATATTAGGTAGCATTTTCACAAATTTTAGTACCAAGAAACAAGTATAACATAGCGTTGCCTTAACAACGCTGTATTATCATCTATTTTACCGTAGAATTGACAGTTATCTATTTCGATTCTTTAATACTTGACTCCAAATCAGGAGAAAAAACTATAGCAAATCAAATTGCCCAAAGAGAAATTTCGTTTCAGTTCTTCAAAACAGTTTCAAGAAAGTTTATCATTTGATATATGCCTAATTTTCATACTCCATAAATTGTGCATTATCTATTTGACGAAAAAATAGTTCGAATCAAATTCAGTATGATTATGCTTATTGAAAAATTTCACATGGCAAAAATAATGTAGAATATAAATCTGCAATTTAAAAAATTCAGCGTAGACTTTCATTTACTAAATTTTTGTTTATATGACTTATAAACAATCAATTACTTGTAACTTTAAAACTTTAAATCAATTATAAAACATGTCAAAATCCTACCTTGCCACGAGTGACGAACCCTGAACTTGAAGCATCCTCCTAATCAGTTCCAATGGGTAAAGGACTGTTTTGGACAGTGAACCTGCACAAGCTCCTGCACATGCCGCACTGGCCGACTCGTTCATACATTTCATGTTTATGAAACAATCGTAGAAAACTCTGAAACAATATAATAAAGCACATATAGCAATTGAATATTTGAAGCTCTAAAGCATATTTTATGTAGTTTTATCAGCTATCAATGTTTCCGAGTCAAAAATATAAGACCCCATTAAGTATCAGAGCATTTTATTAACTATATTGATGAACCTCAAGCTCTTAATATGTTAACATTCAGGACCTCAAGGTCTTTCGAACATAAGTTGTGATATAATTTTCGACAAAATTATCGAAACAGTAAATTCAGTCCATTTTAATCAACTGTGCCAAAAAAAAACTATTATTTTTTTTTATTAAAATAATGTAAAGCTCGGTGCATACGACGCCAGTTTTTCTTGTAACAGGACTTCTGTCAAGTTTTCTGGTAAGGTGAGCAAGTATTTTGCGCCAAATGTTCACTTATTTTATGATTAATAAATAATAATAATTTTGTGCATTTTCAAATAGATTATTAAAAATATATACTGTGAATTTCAAAATTCATATTTTATAGGCCTAAAATGCACTAATGCTTATAAGCTAATATATATGCATCGTATTCGATTAGGATGCATCCATAAGATGATTTAAGCTTATAGTCCAGTCATTTGGTCGTTTTGCCGGTACAGTACTCCGGGAATTCTGAAAATTGGTAATCTTATAGATTTCGAGGTGCTCTTTACAAAAATCAACTTTGCCACCTCAAATTTGGACGGCAAGTTGCCGCCATATTGAAAAAATGGCGTCAAAAAATAGCTTTTTTAAAATATCTCCTTTCTGGCTCATTCTACGATAAAAGTATCTATGTACGAATTAAACTAGAGAAAATTTCCTACAATTCTTCAGAAAACCGTTTTTTTTGTAAAATTGATAGTTTGAGGGTACGGCCGCCTCAAAGTCTTTGCTGCTCTCGCCGTAGTATCAAATCTGTCCATACATGACAGCACTTTGAACTTGACTACATTCCTTCTAATAAATAAATATTTTCAATGTTAAATTAAGCGAATAAGATCTAGAAATAAAATAATTCAAATATTTTTCTGTTTTTTGGTGATTTTTTAACGCTGGGCAACGTTTATGAACAGAAATTATGTTAAGGATACTGCCGTTGTGAATAGAGAGCGTAAACGTGAAATCTGTCAAGCAAGATCGTTAATTATGATTTTTCATATCGTTGCTAGGTAACTGTCCGGCATGCACTAATCAGAAAATCTGGCATGGTGTGCATAGGGCTGCAGACTGTGGGGTCAGTAATATATATAAAAATTAAATGCCTAAAATATTGAGCATGACTTTTGTCGTTGAAATAAATTTGTATATTACAGTTTACACAAATATTGCAATAACATTGTTAACTTTTATTTATCTATTAAGAAAATATTCTTAAATGCTAATTCATATTTTTGATTAAATTAGAACATAAATGAAAAATTGACAATGACGAACCGATTTTATTATTTCCACAAGGACTGATTGAAAACATTATATAATTAGGACAAGAAATAACATATCAAAAATTACAAATGTCATTACAATGCCGAAGGGTCATGTTAATTCCTCGTAAATAGTGAATTGTAAGGCAATGCAGATGGCCGACTTTAAAGCTGCTATTGTAAATCCTCTGTAGAAAGGGCGAATTCCACCATGCGAGTAAATAGATTTAGCACAGCTCCAAATGGCGATGCAGTCTGTTTGCACGAATCTACGAAATTTTGAAAAAGGCTATGAGTATTTATCTTAAGCTCAAATTTAATAAAAATGTTTTCAAATTTCGTGGTACAGCAAACAGAACCGTACCTTTGGCCTTGGATCATTTGCCTTTTCCGTATCGTGTCCAAAGGATAAATAGTGCTTTCAGCTATAAAGCCGGCCAATGCTCCAGAAAATAAATATGATGATTGGGCAGGAACGCCAGGCATTGAATCTGTCAGTGACTCATATAGTTCGACAGATATTCTACAAGAATTTGATAGGTTTGATAGTGAAACAAATTTAACAAAATATTTTCAAGAGATCAACAAAATTTTCTACGTCTGTCGAGATTGACTACATTGAACACGATACATAAGCTTGTAGCGTTAAATATTTAATTTTATATTTTACAAAGCTTGGCTTTGAGAGTAAGAAGCGCCTATTTATAAAACTTCTAACAAATTAGTTTTAACAAGTTCAAATTATAAATCAATTTAAAAAAAACTGGTCGATTATCTAGATAATTACCTAGGTAGATAATCTACATAAATTTAAAGTACGAATTCAAGACGGATTGTTGAAAATTTTGATCAATAACAATGAAATAAGAAAAATATATTTAGTAAATCAATGTATTTTTGCCAGTTTGCCAGTTATATTTATTCTAGGCAGCACACGAGGCAAATAAGTTAAAAGTTAATGAGTAATAATAAAAAAGTTAATTTGTATGTATATATATATATATATATATATAAATATAAATTTTACTTCATACATTTTTCATATATATATTTCATCGTTTGCATCTTTGATGCAACATTTTCTAATAGGAATTCAAAACATTCTAATAGGAATTATGAAAAATTCCATTAAAGTCAGTGGTGTTGTCAAAAGGAGCGTTCATTAATCACGTGAGCGAGTTTTTAAGGATTTTTGGACCCCCTCCCCCTTGGTGATACATAATGATAGGGATCGTTCAAGTATTACGTAAGCAGATTTATTACAATTATTTACCCCCCCTCTTACCTTTGTCAGCAAAAGTAAGCAAATTTCGTACTGAAAACCCTCCCCAACCAAACATCAGGTGTTTTTTTAGTTACGTGAAAAAACGGTAAAATTTTTGAGTTTTTTTTTTTTGAATATTTGATTTTGTTTTTAAATCAGTTAAAGAATAAATACACGTGATATCTTACTATACTTCTTCCTCCCCGTGATATTTCGTGATTTTTGGTCTAACCCCCCTCCCCCCAAAAACCTAATGTGATTAATGGACGCCCCCCAAGCCGGAACGCGCCGGAACGGCGTTTTGGTACTTCCTTTTTAGACCGGAACAAGCCGGAACGGCGTTTCGGTACTTCCTTTTTAGACCGGAACAAGCCGGAACGGCGTTCCGGTACATTGTTTTTATGCCGAAACGTGCTCCGGCAAAAAAAGTTTAAAAAGGAGTGCTGGATTTTTTTTCTAATTTTTGTCGAAATGCAAGCGGCCCACGGACCGTACGTTACTCATCCCTGGCATAGTTTATTGCCACCAATAATCAATGGACCCAAAATTAGCACTAAAACCGGAACATGTATGAGTACCGGTTTTCAAACCGGTCTTAAAAATTCGGTTCCGGTAAACAAATATTCCAACACCACTGATTAAAGTCAAAATATAATTTTCATAATCTATGAGTTCTTGAAACTTTATTGCAAAAGTACTTGATTTTTTGCTCTAATTGCTTTTACTAAAAACAAGTATTTCCTCAAAAATATATAAAAACGAATGAGTAAGCCATGATGTTGTATATAAACATTAAATTAATCTCTTATACTTTTAAGATTAGCCAACATATGCTCACCGATAAAACGAGAACTGCAATCCAGCAAGAGGCGCTCTACTGAGGACTCCCGGAACAGTACCCCTAAAAAAAGCTTTTACGCCTTCCTTTCTGTAAATATCCATAGCCGTTGGAAACAATCCGCGATATTTGATTCCAGGAAAGCCTACAACTCGTGTTCGTACAACATCAGCTGGGTTTGAAAATACTGTTCCCGCTGCCCCTGCGACACAACCGCAAGTGAAGTCTATCGCTGGTAAATATTTTGCATGAGGCTCATACGATCCTGTCCATTTGGACAGTAGTTCATATGTTGAAAATTGTGCTACTCCATGAGATACGGACATCAACTGTGCAGGAATATGACCCTTCCAAAATACAGCTACTCCTTCTTTTTTAATCATTGTCCTAACCATTTCCGAAATTCCGTAGTTGATGTCCCGAGGTAAAAGTTGTATGCGTATTTTGAGGACATCGAAGGGGTTAATCAGACTCCGGGACACCGAAGCTGATAAGCCCCCCGCTACAATGCTCATCAAAACCGAGGTACCATCATTAGTGCCGGAAGGGTCATACCCGACGACCATCCCGAAGATTTACTCAGTCAAGAAATGCTTGTGCAAAAATCGTGACGTACTTAAGTCACGTTTTCGAAAGCTGGAACCTATTTTGGCCGTCATAATCGTTAAAAAAATTTACAAATGTCATCCAACTAAATTTCCAACCTTAGAGTATCAACATGCCGCTTTGGTGAAGTTTTGTTTCAAAATGTTTTTATATTTTTCTATTTAACTATTTTTATATTCTTCAATTTTAGTAAATTATTACATGAATTATTCTTGTTGTTTCATTGTTAAAATGTTCTTCTACGAAGAACATTACTGAGAAGTAAGACTACTGTAGATGATACAATTTTGCTTATGTTACAATCACAAACTTTTTCAGAAATTGATGTTCACTCTAATTTGGTCCACCACTAATTTTGGAAAATTTACACACGCATAACGAACTAGCAATTTGACATTTGATTTTGAAAACATTCATGACTTACTAATCGAATTCATAAGATAGATGAAACAAATGAATAAAAATAAAATTGCACTATGACATTGAACTGTAATCACAGTAAAACTTAAGTTTCTTTACCTATAAAAGATAACAATAGCATGCAACTTCCTTAAATAAAGATTTAGGTTTCTTTACACGACGGCAAGGATTAAGAAGAAAACTCGATAAAACAACAAAAACTTATTGAGACATGAAATATAATATCAATTTCCAACAAAGATAATTTTTGAACGATCTTTAGAACACTGCCAATGCGGCCATTTTTTTTTTTGACATATGGATCATCTGTCTTTACCGATAAATGATATTGATTCAGTGGCAGGATCAAAACATTCATTTAAGTATTTTTATATACTTACCATATCGAAAATTTCAATAACTTGTACCGCATACTAAATAATAAATTCAAGCACTTGTAAAGTTTAGAAAACAACTAAATTAGCACATAATTGACACAATTCATATTGAACTTTTGAGTACTTTTTCAGCACAAACGTCAGACGAGATCCTAGTCAAGTACGAATCTAAACGGTCTTACCCGATTTGCGTTTTTGGGCCAAAACTAAATGAGAATCATATGAGAATTATCTTTTTTTTAATTATTTTAATTTTGGTAAAAATCTAGATATTATGAAATCAATATTATGCAGAAATGCATTTCTAGTTTTTCTTTTGATAAAAATATTTTTTATTTTGATAAAATAAAAATTGAATTAACGTAATAATTAAGTATTATTAAGTTTATAATCATTTTCTTATCTATGGTTATAATGAACCAACTTCACAGCAGTGATATTTGATTGAAATCAGTTATGTTAACACTTTTTTAATTAATAATTTTTAAAATATCAAAAATTATTGAAATTTAATTACTTAATTGCTATTGATGTTCTAAATATTTGTCAACACTTTTTTAATTAATAATTTTTAAAATATCAAAAATTATTAAAATTTAATTACTTAATTGCTATTGATGTTCTAAATATTTTTCATATTTGATTTATTATAGAATGCAATAATTCAGCCTGTTTCAATTTTAGAACCCAATTCGTATTTGTTACCCTAAATTTATCTGGAGCATTTCTAAACATTTATAATTGTATCAATAACATTAATAACTATATGCGTTACAATTATTTCAATTATTGAAGAACAACATTTCTTACGTAGATGAGATCATACCACAAATATTTTATTTCTTTGCAATTACATATTTTCTACATCATTTTTTTAATTTTGCTTCATGTACACAAATCTTATAAAATGGGATTATATTTCAAGTATTGCAAAAATAAAGAAATTCATTTTACACAAAATGTTTTTAATAAATATTATTCTTTTCATATGATAAAAAATCATATTGACATTATTTTCAAAGTTTATTGCAATCTTTACTTTATATTTTTTATATGAATATTATAAAATTTACAATATATAAATATATTATAATCATATTGCATAAAAACTTTTTCATTGAATAGTATTCAAATCTTTTAGCTATTCTAGCTAATAAATATATATAATGACTTCCATTCAATAGATTTCTATTATATCAGACTTACAAATCATACTACTTGTACTACCTTTTATAATAACACTACATGATGATTCAAATAATACAAACAATAAATAATAGTCAGACTACAAGTCTTTCTGATCAGATATAAATGAGAACAATAAAAAAATTTAAAATCCATTTCGAATAATTAAACTATCATAAAATTTTATAAATTTCATCATACAGACAAAAGTGCAATGCGGTTGTAGTCATTGATTTTATAACACTTGGGGTGAGTCCTTTAAATAATCCAGACATACCTTCTATGCGAACTATATTTTTCAGACACTGTATTAAAGTAGGTGCAACAAAGTGTTCTCCAAAAGTTTTCCTAAAATAATGGAATAATCATTTAAAATATAGTAACATTAGAGACTTCACTTTATTCTGAATTTGAAATATAACAAAAAAAGAGATGTGGTCTAACACTTCATCGGTATCTTAAAACCAAATTCAAGGTAAAAGAGACTGCAAAATAACTGTTGACATGTTTTTCAATATTGTAAAATATTTGTTTATAGATTACATAAATTAAATTTAATTTCTTTCTTTCAGTATATGTGTATTTGTTTAAATATATCAAGATTTTTTTCATAATAATACTACTTTTTCAAAAATATGTCAAAATTTTATCATTCAAGATAATGAAAAGTACTTAATAAAATATTATAATACCTGTGCATATGAAATTCTTGTATTTGCAATCTTTTCTTCGCCAAATCTAATGGATATACAGCAATTTTACTGGTGAAACCTGATAGAGCACCCGCTGATATAGTAGCAAGAACAGGAAATTGTCTTTCTTCAGTTTCTGTCATTTGACTATAAAACCGCTTAAACATTTTATAAAACATAAACTGCGTGCCAGTCTGTGGTCCTATTTGAATAATTGAAGTCCAGCAACCTCTAAATAATCCTTTTGGCCCTTCTAAAGTCAGAATTTCTTTAAAGCCTTGCACCATATTACGGTAACCTCTTGTTGAATCCTGAGCGACAAGTCTTGTTCTAATTACATCTAAAGGACTAGATAAAATAATGGCAGCAGAACCTGCTAAGGTTCCAGAACTAAAATCTATTACACTGGGCCATAGAAATGATCGTAATGGTTGAGATAAATGATTGAGTTGATCGTAAGTCCAAAACTGTACGCTACCATATATTATAGATAAAGCTTGTCCAGGTACATGTCCTCGCCATAAAACTTTGATGCCTTCTTCTCTTAGCATACTCCCAACAGCTTGAGGTAATGAGGTGTATTTGGAGATTTGGGACCCAGTATGTATGGGTTCCACTTGTAATTGGAATCTTATTTTTATTACATCTAATGGTTGACAAAGGAATCGAGTGATGGCCCCACATAATGCCCCAGCAATTGCCGGTTTACTTGATGATTTTTTGTCGTCTTCAGTTTCATTTTCAAACATAATTTTATTAAGAGCATTTGACTTGGTTATCTTTAAACATACAATGTTTTGAAGGACATTTCACGTGCTCTCGAAATGTCATGTTGACAGATAAGAAGAGCGGGAAAATATTTATAATTATGAAATTTAAAGAAAATGGTTGCAATAATTGTTTTATTGTTGAATTAATACAATATTATTTGTCGCGAAGAAAGTGTTTTAACAAAAATGTAAGAAATTGGTTCGTATAATTCATGTTATTCTAAATGCACATTTTTAATCAATTAATTTGATGGTGGTATACAGAGTGGTATACAAATTGAATTATTTTAATTTATCTGGAGATTTGTTCAATTAGAAGCATCAGTTACTAAAATGAAATAATAAAAATAATTATAAATTCTTTAAACTATAAATTTTTAATCATCTTAATGTTAATCTTAAAAATCAATCATTCAATCACTGTTACATATAAAATTAAACAAATTGATTGCATTCTACAATTATTCAAAAAATTGGCTTACAAATTGACATATTGTTGATTTTTTCGAAATTAGAATTGCTAATATATGTTTAATTCATTATTGTTAATTTGCTTAAGAACAAAAATTTAAATCACAGTTGAATGAAATATATATTTAATAGTTTTGTGTTTATAGTGGCTGTATCAATAGTTGTGCTGTTAAATATAGATAAATTTTCAAATTTAATTACTTTTTAATAGTATGATTATCTATTTATTCAATTTTTAGAATATCTTTATACATAAATGAAATTTTAATTTAATTTGTTCGAACATAACAAGAATAATTAGTTTAAATTGTTAATTCAACATTATGCAAGTATATTAATATTTTTTAATTTCAGAGCACTGAATTGCAGATAAAGGATGTAAAAAATTATGTAATTATCTTTACAATAACTGGATTATCATGAAGCGAGCAAGAAAACATGACGAAGATAATGGATTTGGAGCATGGGTAATATTATTGTTATATATTTATTATAGTTGCTTTTTAAAATACAAAAAACACCAACCACCTCTTACAAAGCTTGACACAGTACTAAAACATGTCAATAGATACAGAAATATTTTAAACAAATCTTAAGTATCGAGATGAAGGGACGGATGGATTGAATTGGTGGTTGATATATTGGGAGGTATGTTCTGGATCACCAGTACGACCAGGAATTGTAATGATAGGCTGGACCCGAGCGGTGAACAGTTGAATAGTTGTTGAAATATTATATTTGTGATGTGGACTCTCCAGAGTCCACTGGTAGTGTGAAAGGCCTTTAGTACGAACAGCGATTTGATAGTAATTTGTAAACACACTTCTTACTTTGAATGATACTTTTATTATTCACTATTTTTACAATCTATAATTGTTGATAACCTTTTGGTTATCATATCAGCAAAGACTACATTTTACTGAATACTATGTCTGGCTCCAAGCTTCTCTCCAGGTTTGACTGACTGTCTAACTTTTGTCTAACTCTTATATACTAATTTATTGTTTACAACCTATTTACAAAATCCAACAGTAAGCACTTCCGATGTCCGCGTAACCTACATATAACTAGCAACGCGTTTTGTAATTATTAAACAAAATAATGATTCGAATTGTTATTACAGTTCAGGATGTAATCACCAAATAAGGTGTGTGTTGAAAATCTGAGTGATGTATTATCTGAGTATATTATATATCTGAGCATTGTTTATATTTAACATTTAACATTCGTTCCACTCATATCACAAAATTCTATATATAGAATAAAAGAATAGCCACAATTGAAAGAGAATTTTAAATTAAATTTAAAATTTGTTAGGCACACTATATATTATTGCTTACTTTAATAATTTTATATACCCTTTATAATTGCAATAGATAATTATCTATTATTATTATTATTAATATTATCTGTGTGAAGTACAATTTTAAAAACTTGTTTATTATTTAGGGTGGTTATATGGAAGCTAAAATATCTAAACTTGAGGACCAATTTCTTGGAGTTACTACTAAACAATCTAATCAATTATCAAATATTTTTAATGGCGTATCAATATTTGTAAACGGGTACACAAACCCATCAGCAACTGAATTAAAAACTCTTATGGCTGAACATGGAGGTATATTTCATCATTATCATAGACCAGGAAGAACGACATATGTAATTGCTTCAAATTTACCTGATGTTAAGGTAATTTTGTGATACTTTTAATATATGATTGATATATTATAATTTTTATATATTACAATATTAGAGCAGATCTATACATTATAATTCAAATAAAAACCACAATTCATTTATTTTACAGGTAAGATCTATAACATCTTGCAAAATCATTAGTCCTGAATGGGTGACAGATTGCATAAAGGCAAATAAATTAATAGATCATACTAAGTATCTGTTGTATACAAATCAGAGTAAAACGCAACCAAAACTTGCATTTGCATCTAATGTTGTACCAAAAACTGAAGGTATAATTATTATTTCAAATCTATATATTTGCATAATTTTACATGAGTTGTAACTTTCAGAAAAATCTAATGCAAAATCTGATATAGATTTACAAATATCTCCAGATTTATTTGATTCATCTGGGGAATCATTTTCTGAACAAATTATTAAATCTAATGTTGCTGAGAATGAAGAATCTTTATCAAACCAATTAGCACCTGAAGTTTCAGAAGCAACTTTAGATCAAATCTTTAATGATATTACTTCAACAAATAATAAGATAGATAATGAAACAATAGCATTACCGGAGTCTTCAAGCACCAGTAAGAAAAACACAATAAAAACAGCTGTTGATCCAGGGTTTCTTACTGAGTTCTATAATAATTCAAGACTTCATCACATTGCCACACTTGGTGCTGGCTTTAAACAATATATAACTGATCTTAGAGAAAAATCTGATGGAATATTCCCTGGTATACAAATACTAAACATGATGCCAAGAACTGATATTTGTAGGGTAATCTTTAAATTGTGCCCATACATGTTTACATATCTGTGTGTGAGCACTATTTTTATTAAATAGTATTTATAGGTAATTTCTGGAACTCGTATCATAATGCATATAGATATGGACTGTTTTTTTGTGTCAGTGGGGTTGAGAAATAGACCACATTTACGAGGATTACCAGTAGCTGTAACTCATAGCAAAGGGGGATCTAAATCTCATGCTAGACCTGGAACTGATATTAAGCAGGAAATAGAATTATACAAGCAAAGAAATCAGGTTTGTTTTATCTAATTTAATCAATAGAAAGTATTTAATTAAATTCTGTTTATAATATCTTTTGAAACAAATTTGAATGAAATATATTTAATTTATGTAGCATGTTTTGTAAGCAAATGTTTATTGCTTTTAAAATAATAATATTTTTAATATATATTCTTTCCTACAGTTAAATTCAAATGATAATGATTCATCAAAGGAAATGTGTGAAGTTGAAAGACGATTATGCAATTTAAATGAGCTAGATTCACTCTCAGAAATAGCTTCATGTAGTTATGAAGCTCGAAAAGCTGGTGTTACAAATGGAATGTTCATGGGAGCTGCTTTGAAGCTTTGTCCAAATTTAAAGGCCATACCTTACGATTTTGAAGGATATAAGGAAGTAGCTTATACACTCTATGATACAATTGCTAAGTAAGTTTTGTATTATGCAAATATTTAAAAAAATCGAAAATAAAATTTACCATATAGGACCAAATCAGAACTATAGCAAGTTGGGCATTATGTTTTTTATTTGTTTATGATTTTTTTATGTACGATTAATGTATAATTCTACTACTTTGTAATAATCAACTAAGTAGTAGGTTGCTCTCAACATATTTGCTTATTATAAATATATAGTTCATTAAATAATTTATTATAGATATACATTGAATATTGAAGCAGTCAGTTGCGATGAAATGTTTGTTGATTGCACAGATTTACTAAAAAAAACTTCAGTGACTGTTAATGAATTTGCTGCACATATTCGTTCAGAAATAAAACAGAAGACATCATGTCCGTGTTCTACTGGTTTTGGAAGCAATAAACTTTTAGCTAGATTAGCTACAAAAAAGGCAAAACCTGATGGACAATTTCATTTAGAAGATCATCATGTGGAGGAATATATAGATGACATACCAATATCAGATCTTCCAGGTAATTATCAAATTAATTGAAAAGGTTATTTGTCTCATATTTAGTATGTTATTTTTGAAATTATTACTGTATGAATCAATTGTAAGGTGTTGGACGAAGTACCATGAGCCAATTGAAAACATTAGGATGTCATACATGTGGAGATTTAAAAAACATCACACTTCTGACATTAAAAAAAGAATTTGGAAATAAAACTGGAGAATCTTTATATAAAAACTGTCGTGGGATAGATGATAGAGCATTGGTATATGAACAAGTGCGTAAATCTGTGTCAGCAGAAGTAAATTATGGAATACGTTTTAAAAATATGGAAGAATATGAAACATTTTTGCAAAAGTTAGCTTTTGAGGTGCATACGAGGTTGAAAGAAGTTAATAGGAAGGGTCGTTGTATAACATTGAAACTTATGGTGAGTATTAGCAAATAATATTTTTAATTGCTTGCAAAATATCTTGCTACAATTGATTGAATTGAAATGAAATGTATTAATCCAAATCTAATATTTTATTTGGTATCTGCAAAAATTGCTTGCAAATGAGGATAACTTATAGTTTTTAATTTATATTTAAGGATGCATTGGTATTTGTTATAAAAACAATATTCTTAAAGCTCTTAATTACATCATAAAGATTTTATGTTACTTAAAAAATTTCGCATTTTCTTTAATATTGTAGATTCGATCAGAAGAAGCTCCTAAAGAAACAGCAAAATATATGGGGCACGGATTTTGTGATAATATGAGCAAATGTCAAACACTTAATTTTGCTACAGATGATGTAGAAGTGATCACAAGAGCTGTTATGAATATAAGCAAAACTATAGATATTAAACCCGAAGATCTTAGGGGTATAGGAATTCAAATATCAAGACTCGAGAAACTCACAGCAACTCATGATGTTGCTAAAGGTTCAATAGTAAAACTTTTCAAAAAAGTAGCAGAAAATTCTAAGAATAATAAATTAGATGATGCAAGTAACAATGCTTCGACTTCAACATCTGAAAATGATACAAGCAGCAATAACATACCAACATCGAGTAAGACTGTAGAAAAATCAAAGGGTTCAATAAAAACATTTGTAAAACCATTAGAAGAGTTAAAAGAATCTAATGATGAAATCAGAAACCTTAACTTTGAAGTTAATGCAAGTTCTTCAGTGTCCAAAGAATATAAAAAGTTAGATGATACAGTGCCTGCTGCAAGAATATCTTCACCTAAGAAGAAAGATACTTCCAAAAAAGGAAAAAAACTTGTGAAAAATAAGAGTAATAATACTTTGGAGAAGTTTTTCGGTGAAAGGAAGACCTACTCCAAAACTTTGGGACCAGTAAGTTATTAATAGCAGTTTAGCAAAGAAATATTTAGCATAATTTCCTTATTTACATTTAATCATATATCCAACATTTATTTTAATTTTAGGAAGATCTGCGTTCTCTTGGAATTGATCCAGAAGTATTATCTAGTCTACCTGAAGATTTACGAAATGAAGTAATTAGGGATTGTCAAATTAAAGCAGAAAAACTTAATAAGCCAGGACCTTCGAAAGAAAACACAACCACCAGCAGATCAATAATTGAAGTGAGATGATATGATCTAGCAAAAATCTACTCTCTATTTAAATCTTACATGTATTTCAGGTTGACACGGAATTTTTAAATGCAATGCCTGATGATATTCGTAAAGAAATTGAAGCAGAAATGATGGCAGAAATTTTGTCGAATAATAGAAATGATACTAATTTGGTCATGGATCAAAATGGTGAGAATAAAGATTCAGAAAAATATCTAAATAAATTCGCAAATATTTACCAGTTTTCCACTATTACTAAAATTTGTATTCATCTTAATTATTATTAAAATTAATTCAAACTCACCAAATATGTTGAGCTTTAAAACACTTGTATATGATAGCACTGTATATGTAGACCTGAAAAATTAAGTTTTTAATATAATTACATATTTAACATCTTCACATAAAGTTATAAATGATATTTCATCTTACTTGATAAAAATTATGATCCATTTGTAAATAATCTGAATCAGTGCTGCTACCAGTATTTTTGTTCTACAATTGTGTTTCACGTTTGAATATTAAGTCATATAATATTCTTCAACAAAATATATTTGTTCTATGATGAGTTTTCAATGGATTATGTATAATGCATGAGTATATTAATAACAATTAATTTATGTAGTTGAAATACCTCAACAACCGGATAAGCCAAAATCCAGCAGTGTGTGTGGAGTAGAATACTCTGCCATTTTTGGTGATATAGCTCAAACAAGAACATTAATTAGATCATGGATTACTAAAGAAATGTGTCCAAAGTTTTGTGATATTGAAATGCTCAGGAAGTACTTGATGGAACAAGTGGAAGATGATATTCAAAATGTTTACTACATTGTGAAATTTTTACACAGGTATTAAATTATATTCAAATTCCAATTTGATATTTTAAGTATAAAAATTCTTATATTAATAATAATTATTATACTCATTTTATCATCTTTACTATTATATTCTACAATTAAAATTCACTGAAATCATTACCATCAATTCATGAGCTTATGATTTATAAGTAAATTTTACTGTAATTTTTTTCAGATTAATTTCTGAACAAATATCAGATGATGGCAGTAATTGCCATTGGCATAAAGCGTATTCTCAAATATTAGAAGGCGTTCAAGAAGCAGTATTAACTTTCTACGGCAACAAATTGTTTGTGGAAAACAATTTTAAATGTGATTATTGTTTTGCTATATAAAAAGTTTAAAACTATTTTAGTTTATGGTATTTTTTAAATGAAATATAAATTTTTATAGTATGAGATGAAGTTATAAAGCAAATTACCCAAAATGTTCTACAAATACTTTGAACTTAAACTTAAAGTAACAATATTGCTAAATGATTCTTTTAAAACTTTGAATATAAAGTTCTTTGATTTATATTATTGTAATTATTAGTGATGAAAGTTCAAATTTTTCTAGAAAGTTATGTGAAGTTTCAATTTATACAAGACATATTGAGTAAATTGTTTGCAATCACTTGCACCAAAGGTTGTTAAATTTTATATGAATTATATGAAAAATATTTTTTAATTTTTATACCTAGATTATATGTTTCTTTATGAATGGAATAAAGTTTTGTTTATATACAATTTCTTTATTTTGTATATGCTGCATATATAAATGGATTTATATAACATGTTATTAATGAATAACTTGTAATAAAGATAACTTACGCATAATGAAAATTATATAAAAGAAATCTAATCACATCACATTTCATTATTAATGATAACTTCAACAAAATCACTTGAACACTTCTAAATAAAGTTTAACCATAATATTGATCAATGTTCTAAAACAAATGTCATTTGCATGTATGTCTATTGCACATTTTTATTCACTCTAAATTAATTTGGCATTTTAATTCACTAACACTAATTTGTAGTCTTCATTTAACTAAAGTCCTTTAGTTTCTTTTTAATATTAAAACTTTTCAATTGTTTAGTAGTAAAGAGTTATGATAAAAACGAATCAACGCTTTGTGTATTATTCTACTATTTACAGTTATTACACTAAATAATATTTTATATTATTTTCATAGCTTCAACTGGAATGGTTATGGTAAGACTGAGGTGAATCGTGTTGGTTTTGATGTTGCATCTGATAGTTGCCAACCAGCCCCTGAAAAATATATAATGATGATTTTATAATTTTTATAGCATAAAGATGCTCAAATTTAAAAAATGAGTGATTAAAGATTCAATACAACGCTATGCCTTGCAATATAATTACAATCTTTAAATATGCCTTAGATACTTATACATAAAGACATATAGAAGTAAATTACTATTTTTTTTTAAATTTTTTTTTAATTTTTAGGAATAAAATATGAGTTCAATTACCTCTGGTGAGTCTCCCTCAGCGTTCATGTTGCCTCCGGAAAGTGAACCTATTTGTTCAACATCATATTTGCCTCGTTTGAATCTTCCATATAATGAAGAATAAGGCAGATTATAATGTATAGCAGCTTGGTTAATGGACATTTGACCAATTCTAAAAAAAAGTAAGTACTATATTATATATCTTTCTTTTATTATTTATTCAGATTTTTTTAAAAAAATATTTGTACCTGACTGCTTCCAAAGCTTCACCCATTGCGTCTTCAGACCATGGTGTTGGATTTGACCTCGACAATTCAATTCCTTCTCTTTTACATCGGCCATATAAAGTTCCTTTAAATGAGATGGTAATTAAATATTGCATACATTTATTCTACTAAATTAAAAAGGAATTTATTAATGATTCTATTCAACAAAGATAACACACACTAAGATTTGATATTAGATACTGAGATTATAAATTAGTGCTTAAATAATTTCCAGCTGAGTTATTAAATAATTTTAAAAAAATACAGTGAGAGAATAATATAATTTTTTTTTGCAGTAACACCATCTCGATGTTTTATCATATTATGAAATGAATAAAAAGAAAGCAAACAAAACTATCTAAGGAAAAATTCTATAAAATGAGAAACAATTGAAAATGACTTTACAGATTTTACATGTATCTGCTATTTTATTCCGAAAATTATTTGTATTTTCATTCTAATTATAAATTTATCTCATAGGAGATTTAAATATTTATTCACCTGTAGGTATTCCAAATTCCGCGCTGGCTCTCTGAACACTTGTCTGTCCAGTTCGGATTGCTTCTAGTGCTCTTTCTAAATCTTCAGGCGTCCAGGCTGTTGGTGCAGCATTGAAAGGAGCCGCAAGGCGTATTCCTTCGCGACGAGCTATTTTATACAAAGTACTACTCGGTATACCTGGATAAAAAAAACATTACTTGATTACTAAATAACATCCATCAAACTTGGTCAGTTCAATAAGATCTTGACTTTTATTATCTAGATTCTTTACGATCTAGATTCTTAGATCGAAGATTTGCTTGAATTTTGATTGAATTGAATCATGATATAAGTATTTATATTTATGCTTTTTATAAATTATGAAAAATAATTCACTGAAAAAACTAAACTGAATTTTCAAATATAATTAACTTCCCGTAGGGTGAGTTATAGTAATCCCAAAAAAATCGAAAATAAAACCAGAGGGGCGCATGGCATCGTGCCTTGAGGCATATTGCTGGAACTTTCCGTACCAAAAATTATTTTTTTTTAAAAAGATTAACATTTTTAAAGAAAAATTACTTAGAAAAAATTAGATTTTTGAGAAACTGTAAATTTTTGACAAAAATTTACTTTTTTTTGAAAAAAAAAAGACTTTTTGAAAAGAAATTTATTTTGAAATATTTTGGAAATTCTGAACTTTTTTTCAAAGCAATCGTACAGCTTTAACTGCACAGAGACAAAATAACAAAGCGCGTAAGCGCCGCGTCGCCGTCTAACAAATAAACATTGGTACGGAACCCATAGGAATGTAAACAAAGTTTATACTTATTGTTAAAATCTCTATAAAATATCTGATAATTTGATGTGCATATGTCTAATGATAATTTTTGACCGCCAAATGGCTTTTTTTTACTTTTTTTTACTAGATCTCCGAAACCGCTTGACCTGCCTTCATGAAATTTTAATCAGTTGTTCATCTTGTTAATACAAGTAAAATGTTTTTTGAATTAAATTATTCAAATCGGACGCTCCGTTCTCTTTAAAACTCAGTTACCGTTTTTGGCACTTTTTGGCCAATATCTTCGGAACGGCTAGACCTGCCTTCGCCAAAAACTAATCAGCACGTCCCCTTATCAATACGAATCGAATGTTTTTTTAGTTATTCAAATCGGTTGGCAAAAAGTGCCAAAAATAGTAATTGATTAAAATTAAAACTTTCTTAAAAATTTTAATTTTTAGCACGGGAAATTCCAGCAATTTGCTATTATTATTAACTTAATATGTTACAAATATTATCTACTACCGTAAGCTTTGCTCGCTTTGTTGGCCGAAATAGTCCCTGTCCGTAAAGCTTCCAGAGCATTATTCAAACTATCTTCGCTCCAACTTTTTGTAGCACCTTCTTTCTTTGGAGTATCAATACCTAGACGATGTGCTCTCTGCCATAAAGTTGTTGATGGTATGCCGTAAGTTGCAGAGGCCTGTGAGGAAAAAAATTATTAAAATATAAATTCCTCACTAACTCACCTATTTTATAATTGTATTTATTTCATATTATTACCTTCGTAAGACTCATGTTATGGTTTCTCAAAGCATTCAACGCTTGGTCCATATCTTCTTGAGACCAGGTCTTGGGGCCGTTATTCATTCGATGCATTCCATGTTCCGGAGTAGCGCTTCCTGATAAATTACCGCCGTACTGGTTCATCGATCCGTTACTATTGAATTTGTGGGGTTTGATGTCTTCATTACTACCATCGGACATCATGTCACCATACATCATATCTGGGGAAAAATATATACTTTTGAATGTTCATTCATTAACAGTTTTAGAATACTATTAATTAGTAAAAAGTTGGTAAAGTAATGTCTTTTAATTATATGAAATATATTTTATAAAAGTTTAAATATCAAAAACTTCATAATTAACTTCCCGAAGGTATAGTTTATGTTTTCAACAGATTCGCTAATTTTATGTTTTCTCGACGTTTCGAGCCATTCTGAATCGAATAAGACCAAATTCGGTAAAAGTATATGTGTGTGTGTATGTGAACAGATTTTTTGCTGTAAATCGACGTTTTCTCAAAAACGACTGGATCGATTTCAAAAATTTAAAAGCCATTAGATGCACCTCGATGAGGACTAGCGATTATCAGTTTTGTGCGACGATCAGCCAAGCCGTTTCTTTATAAATAGCAGAAAAGTGAAAAAAAATTCATCCACGTTTTAGCCCGCAATTCTGAATCGATTTTAAAAATTCAAAAACCGTTCGCAAGATATTGGTTAGGAATCGACCAGATTAGTTTTGGTAAAGATCGGCCGGGCCGTTTTCTTGTAATAAAGTGTAGTAAAGTGAACCGATGTCAGAAATTTAAAAGCCATTTTATGTATCTCAATGAGGACTATCGTTTGTCAGTTTTGTGCGACGATCTGCCGAGTCGTTTCTTTGTAATTTGGGAGAAAGTGTTAAACTTTTCATTCACATTTAAGCTCATACTACCAAATCGATTTTAAAAAATCAAAAACTGTTCGAAGGATATCAGCTGGGAATGACACTGATTAGTTTTAGGTGAAAATCTACCGAGCCGTTTCTTGTAATTAACTGAAAAAAAAATTTAAGCTGATTTTGATGGAACTTCTTTGGCGATATATATCATGGTCTTATAGAACTTACTGAAATATTACGGCTTTACGCAAGTAGCCTAATTTTAAAAAATCATCAAAGTTTAAGAAAATGAGTAGTTTTTTTTACGTTTGTTAAAATTTAAATTAGACGGTTTACTTGGTATAACGTTAGAGTACTTGATCTTAATGAACCTACTAAACCATTAAAGTCCTACAGAAACTAGTACAATTATAAAAATGATTGATTTGTGAAAATTTCCTTTTAAAAAATACTCCGAGTTCACGTTCACTCGGAATACTTTTAATCACTCATAAAAATAATTTATTTATCATAGATTTAGTCGATCATTTACACATATCGGGAAGCTCATATAACTTGCCTCAAGGCAAAATACCGACACCAACTAGTTATATTTTAAACCTACATTGAGTACGCGGGTCCTGAACAAAATTCATGTTACAATTATATAATTTGAATTATAATGTGATGATTCGAGCTAGTTAAAAAAGACAAAAGTTTATTACAATCCTTTATAAATATAAATAGAAAGAATAATAGGGAAATAACTAAATAAGGATTATTGAGGCGGAAAATTCACGCCAAATGTTATTTATTAAATATTTTACCATTTTATTTTTGTGCTTGTGTGTTGCTTAAATTATAAAAGTTTAACATCCTCCTTTTACCTGAAGGACCGCTATTTGGTAACAGTCCCAGCAACTCAGGTGTAACGAGCATGCTGTGCGAAACCGACAGGTGATCAGTCGGATCATAATGATCTCCATCGCCCTGATGATCCATGGAATGATCGGAATGCATAGAATTATGAGAGTGCTGAGACATTTCCATATCGATATCAGCAATTCTACTTTGGTAGTCATTGTCTGGTGACTGCTCGATTGTTCGTAATGTTTCTAGTTTTACTTTGACATCTTCCGTTCCGTCTAGAACTAAAGTATCTAGAAATAAGAAAATATTTAGTTTAATAATTTATGAATTATATTTTAAAAAATCTAACAACTATACTGTATGTTAACATACAGTATAGTTGTTAGATTTTGCAATTGCGATATTGCAATTGCAATATAAAAGTAAAAACGAATTCAAGTATATGTGAAGTCTACAAGAAAAAAAACAAACATAGCCATCCTAATTTCGGAGAAAGATGTCATGTATAAGAAAAAAATATTACATTTACCTCCAGAGTCTCCACGATGGTCAAGCATTGTATTGTGTTCTGTAACAGGTGTAGCCGTCGGGGCGGGTGGTTCTGGCGCGTACTCATCGCACAGGGCTGTACTGTGCAGGAAATTCTAAAAAAATATAAGATTTTCAAATATAAGGCATAAATTACCGTAAACTAGATAAGCAGGAAGATAAAACATGTAAAAAATAAATCGGAAAAAGTTGCAAAGTAAAGTTTAGATTTATGTGGTTTAGATTTAGATAAGGATTGCTCTTCGTACGGACAACTGTATGTTGCCTATTCCAAAGCCGGGAAACCAGATAGTCTTTACATCTACGCAGCCAGTGAAAAATATATTGTGTACCCACAAATATTGATAAATTATTTTTTATGGAATTTATTTCTTATTAACTTCCCGTAGGGTAAGTTATTGTAATAGTCCAAAAATCGAAATTGAAAATTTTTGCATTTCTTCACGTTTTGAAGGTTTCTGAACATTTTGTCAAACCTCAGAAAAAATGGATGTGTGTGTATGTATATATGGATACAATTTTGCGTCCACGTTTTTAGGCGCACGGATCAACCGATGTAAGTGGTTTAAAAAGCATTCGATTCCTATTGATAGGGAGATGTGCTGATTCGTTTTTGGCAAAGGCAGGTCCAGCCATTTCGGAGATACGAAGCAAAGATTGCAGAAAATAGAAATTGAGTTTTTTTATAGAACGGAGCATCCGATTTGAATGATCCATAAAAACATTCCATTTCTAATGATGGAGAGAAGTGACAATTAGTTTTTGGCTAAGGCAGATCCAGTCATTTTGGAGATACTGAGCTAAATATACAAAAAATGACATTTTTGAGAGAAATAAGCATCCAATTTGAATGATTTAAAAAACTTTCTGCTTGTGTTGACGAAACGATTGCTTTTGGGAAAAAAAATTAATTCTATTTTTTTTTATTTCCAAAAACAAATTTATTTGAATATCGAAAATAATTCGAATTTTAATTTTAATTCTAGCTAAAGTTCTAAAATTCACTTAAATAATTAATTTTCAACTTTGCTATTTAGTTTATATAATTCTTATAAATACTAGACAATGTCCTTAATTTTAAATTCGATTGATTAAATTTTGTTTATTTAGTTTTCTGTAAATATATATGTTATAGTATTTATAAAAATCTATTTGAAAACATTCAATATTCCTCGAATATTTCATTACAGTATGGAAAGTTGCAGCAATTTTCCTTAAGGCACGATGTCATACACAATTAGTTCTGTTTCTCACATCTCACCAATTCATAATGTGCCACAGCGAAATGCAGCGAATACAGCTAATGTGTTATTAATAAATAAATCTTAGAGCTAGGCCTATAAAACTTTAACCTTAAAATATAACGTTTACAGATTTTATCAAAAAAATGTCATATGTGGAGTAGTTTTTTTTAACATTCCTGAAAACCACATATGTATTGTGTTTTTTATTATTACCTGCGACGTATATACCCCAGGGTTTATACTCTCCGAGAGATCATGCCCATTGGCGGCAGAACGCCTCGTCTCCAACATGACCAGCGACATATCTGCAGATTTTTGCTTATCTTTGTCCGAATTTGGTGTCTCTTCACTATTTTTGCCTTTTCCGGCGTCTAAATCACCACTATCCGTGTCTCCCGTCGGTTCCAGTTTCACAACTCCATTTCGAGTTGGCTGTTCCGACTGATGCTTACGCACCAGGTTCGACGGCGGAGACTTGTCCTCCTGAAATAGACAATGAATTCTATGTTAGGCAATTAGATAAGGTGACCTATGAATGGCACAAAAAATCTTTGATAAACCACTAGATAAGAAATCCTATAATTTACACAAAAAATCTATGTTAAACTATTAGATAAGGTGAGCATATTTCCCGATTTGTCCAGGACAGTCCCGGATTTCCACCTCTTGTGTCCCGGGTTTTTCTAAAAGCAACATTTTTACCAGATTGTCTTTTATCCTTGGTTTTCGATAAGTATATGCTTAAATTGAATTTTGAAACTACTTGATAATAAAATTACAAATGTCCTTAGATTATCTGAAAATTATAGATACTACGAGAAGGTTCATATAAAACTACACGTTATGTGTGAGGAAATTTCCGAATGCAAAATTTCAAAAGCAGATTGAAATAGACTCATTAATTCAGCGTTTTCCAAACTGTGGGGCGCGCCAGGCTGTTCTAAGGGGGGCGCGTACATCTGTTTCCTGAATACTATTATCGACAATAACCCAACATTTTTGAAATGATATTAAAACAAAAAATAATTAGTTTTTATGCATATTTTTACATAATATTGCACATTAATTTGTAGTCTGATAATCTCAGTTGTGTATTTATAAAATTAAACTGTTGAAAAAAATAAGGGAGGGCGCACCAATTTTTTTTATTAGAGCAGGGGGCGCGGTAAAAAAGCTTGTAAACTATTGCATTAATTATTCAGAAGTTTCATTTTCAATTTGGCAAAAATTATAAATTCGAACTTTCTGCTTGGCTCACGGGCTAATTTTACTAACAATAAGTTTTATGAAGAAAATTGAACAAAATTTCATTCTCTCAGCCTCCTCAGAGAGTCACGACGTCGTTACAAGAAGGAATGTTTGAAAATAAACAAAATGAAATTATATTAAAAAATAAACGAATAAATTTGATATCAGTTGAGTATTTAATAAAATACTTGATAAAATTACATAAAATTTTTGAAAAAATTAAAAGGGGCGCGATATTTTTTTTTGCTAAAATGGGGGGAGGCGGTGCAAAAAAGTTTGGAAACCAGTGCATTAGAGCTTCAAAATTTTATTAAGTAGTACATGAATATGTAGCATAACCCGGAAAAAGTTCCATAGTACATGATCGATAATATTTATAAACTATATCACAAATGCAAAAACATATCTGTACCTAATTCTAAATGGATAAGTCAAATCTGACTATTTTAACCTAATTGCTATTCTATAATCACTAATCAATATTTATATTTAATTCTTGATTGATCAACCTATTTCTTTAAGATATAGAGAAATTTATTACAGTTTGAGTTTTTTTTTACTTCTATTTTCAAACCTAATTGGGGAATGTTGAAAATGAATACTATAACTATCATTTTTCAACAAAACTTTATGTTGGAAGTCAAGTAGTTTAGCCTGAATAAGTAAAATTCTTTTTGAGATAGAGAAATTTATTAACTTACAGTTTGAGTTGTTTTCACTCCTATTTTCAAACCTAATTAATAAATGTTGAAAATGAATACTTTAACTATTATTTTTTGATAAAACTTTAAATATTTATTTATTTATTTTAGAAGCCAAGTAGTTGATCCTGAATAAGTGAAGTTCTTTTTGATATAGAGAAACATATTAACTTACAGTTTGAGTTTTCTCCACTCCTATTTTCAAACCTAATTACGAAATTATGAAAATGAATACAATAACTATTACCTTTCGAAAAAACTTTGTGTTAGAAGAGAAGTATTAGGCCTGAGAAACTGAAAGTTTAACTGAATAGTAATTTTATTAATAAAACGACTAAGCAATAGAATTTAACGAAATGGATAAAGAATTTTCGTCAAAGACTTAATTTTCAACTGAAGTTGATTTAACGATTTAACGCTGCCAACATTAAGAAATTGAGAGTTTCAGTATTGCCAGCGTTGAAAAGACTGCTTCGTTGAAATTCGATGATGTGAAGTTAGCTACTATCAAATGTCAGTTGATTGATGAACAACAAGATATAAAAGTTTAAATATGCTTACATTATTTATGGTGCTAATAATTAGTTTAATTTTGAATTATTTTATAAATGACTGATCATTTTATTAGTTTATTTTCATTGACAAAACAGCTGATTTTCAACTAGTTGTTTCGTTTCGACAAAATGTTTGATAGAAGAAAAAATCAGTTGACAAAAGCCGTTAGTTAATTCAACTTCTCTCATTACTAATTAATGGAGGATATGCATTGTTGTAAGGAAAACAAAATATAAACCTATGTTTATGATTATGTATTTAAAAAAAATTATATAGGAGAACTAGGGGCTATATAACGGGGGTAACGTTGTTCAATAGGATCTTAAAAGATATTAAATTTTTTTTTGTCTCGATTAGACATGTAAACCGTCCTGCATAATATTATCATAGCTACTGACTCGTAGGCCGATGCAATAAACAGAAGTGTGCAGGTGCGTCGTTTTTGATTTATGATATAAAATTGAACTATCATAAAATTTCCACTATTATCGACTAAATTACGTATGATATAGAAAAACATTTCAAAAATTATTTTTGAGCTTCTCCTTTAAATTCTCATTAATTTATTGTACAAAAATATGTTAATTTTCAAAATAATGTAAAATGTACAATGCAACAAATTATCACTTTGATTACAAAATTATAAGATTCATGCAGGAAAATTACTAGATCGGAGATTCTGTCGTTTTTTTTTGAAAAAAAATCAATTTTTTTCAATTGACTCTCAATTTTGACTTTAGACTCGTGTTCAACGGTAAACTATATTGGAAAACATTTTTTCATTTTGTGATAAACCTGTGTTATTGTTTGCCTTGATTTGTGAAAAGAATTACTCAGAAACAAGAAAATTTTCCTAAAAATAAGTAAAGATTGAATCAGAGAAATTATTAACGTTTTCTTGTCATTACTACTTGTCCTATAAAACTAGCCCCAAACATTGAATAAGTTGTAACACCGCACTTTTCCTATAAAATGATTAATTGTGAACTAATGAATAACAGTTGTGAAATTATTTTTACTAGATTCGGTGGAGGAATAGTTACAGCAACTATAAATTATTATTGCGTAGAAATGTAATCTATGGAACTCAAGATATATTGATTTGAATAAAACCTGTTACAACCAACCCCTAGCTCCCCTACATGCTTTAATTCTATACCAAAACCTTACTTCTAAATCCTCTTCTTCGTAGGCCTCATCAAGGCGTGTGGTGTTTCCTGCAGCAGTTGGTGTAGTATTTATAGTAGGACGGAAACGTCTTTGGCGCTTATTTGGTGGTCCACCAGATCCCAATCGATTATTGGAGTTCCCGAAATTAATTGTATTGGTAGTGTTAGTATTTGGCCGTCCGAGATGACGAAATTGTTTAATTGGCACTTTTCTGGACGGTGGCGATACCTGCGCTGAATTAGAAAATTCTATGTCATCTGGGCCTGGATTGGATTCCACCTCACAAAGCCCTTTGATTTTTAGTTGATCAGCTGTTCGGAGTAACGACTGTAATGGAAGTGAAATTTAAGGTAAGTAATTTGTTAAATTATATATTCATAAATTAATATTATAATTATGTACTATCTTTTGTGGAAAATTTTTATGACTACATTCTCATTCAGTGCATGTTCTTAAACATTCCTGATAACTTCGGACAGAACATAATGAGTTTTATGATTGTTTATTTCTGCAATTGTTACGAAAACGATACAAACATTTCTTTGCCATGGACAATAGGGTTTATATTGCATGAATGTTATTGATTCAGTTCCAATAAACTGATCCCAATACAGTACTAACAATACAAACTATTGTCCGATATCATTGACGATATTTACAATACACGGAAACATAAGATGTTTTCCGAGTTCGAACAATAGATTTTTAACGGTTATTAAAAAAAGCAGTAAAACAACTAACTATTGAATATCAAAATCATATAATCAAAAAACTCAGGAAAGCTTTTCGTCATCAAAACGTAAAACTAAATTACTATTAGACTTATTTATATGGGTATCCCAGAACTCAACGTCAAGCCGAAACGGGGCGATAGTATTAATCAAACTATCATGAAAAAAAATTTAGAAAAATTGAAACCTAGAAATTGTTAAATTGTTGAAATTGTGACCATTTATCGGCTATTGTGGTTAATTTTTATTAATTTTGTTTATTGAAACTTTGAATACGTAACCGTAAATAACATGTTTAATTCCATAGTCAAAAATAATGACACAATTGCTCCAAATTTTCAAAAATTAAGATTGTTTGTTAAACTATGATTCTAAAATTTTCAAACTGGATTTACTTTCAGAGACCAATTCTTCAAAACTACTCTACCCTTCTTTAAAAAAGATATACTAAAGTGTTTTGTCAAATTCCATCAATAGTTTGCTCAGAATTGTAAAATCGCTAAATACTTGATAGTTAAAAAAAATCGAGTGAAAGAATAAAATCCTGCCATTAATAGCTAATTCATCATTAATACAAAATTAATAAGAATTAACCACAATAGCCAAAAAATGGTCACAGTTTAGTGAAACTAGATTCTTCTCTAGATTCTTCTCTAGATTGAACTTTTGAAAGCTCATTCTTTTCAAGCTACGTAGAATATTTTTTTCAATTTTTTTTTCATGATAGTTACGATCTACGCTATCACCCTGTTTCGGTTTGACGTTGATTTCTGGGATATGATATTTTTTGTTTGAGGTTGAAATTTATTATTCGAATTAATTAACGGCCAATGCACAAAATCAAATTATATTCATTTTAATATATGTTCATACTTCACGAGAAATATTAGTGTGTAAATATAATAATGAGAACACAATTTTAATCAAATTCTTATATGAAATCGTTTTACATTTCGAATATTTCGATATAACCAGAGATTTTTTTTTAATTACAATATTTATTACAACTGTTAAATAATTTAACATCTAGTAATAATAACGAACAATAACATAAATTTAAATAAGAAGAGTACAAAGGATTAAGAATGCAAAACAAAAAATCTAAGAACCAAAGTGATAGACAAAAATCAATCACTCATTAAGTGATGGGACGTCCGTAAATCAGGTGAGGTTAAAAAAGGTAAGGCGGGTTTGATAAAAAATCAGGATATATTACGCAGGGTGAGGGTCTAGTAAAATATCAAGTGTATTTATATTTTACCTCAATTTAAAAAAAAAAGACAAACATTTTTCGTCATCAAGAGTTTTTCCAAGAACTAAAAAGACACGTGTACTTTGGTGGGAAAGAGGGTGGTAATTTTAAATATCACCACGTATCACAAAGGAGAAGGGGGGTCCAAAAATCCTTAGAAATCGATCACGTGATGAATGGACGCCTCCTTTAAAGTAGGTTTTGCAAACAGCAGAAGAAATGTCTAATAATGAGAAATAGTCGAAACATAAAATAAGACAGTAAATGGTTCAATTGTTTTTCCCCTGAGATACTATAAAAAAATAATTTGATATGCCCGAGACAAGGACTAAGAACAAACCATATTCTGCAGACTTCAAAAACCACAAAAAACTATATATTGAACGGAGCCATAAATAGAGTAGTAAATAGAATAAAATGAAATAAAAACTAGTGGAGCGCATGGCATCGTGCCTTAAGGCAAATTAACTTAAGGCAAATAAGGCAACTGGAACTTCCCGTACTAAATAATTGTTTTAAATAATTTCAAATAGATTATGTATTATAAATACATACTATAAATTTATATTTTATTTTGGGCAACGAACGTATTCTACAAACAACTTATGTGTATGTTTATAAGAATTTTTTTAAATTTATTTTTTTTGATAATTTTGAAATTTAAAAAAAAATCATTTTTTTGAGAATTTGGAATTTTTTGAAAATGCCCGATTTTTTTTTTTTGAAACTTTCGAAATATTCTCAAATTTTTGTAAGAAATCGTTGCCTATGCTAAAAACTAATCAGCACGTCTCTTTATCAATACGAATCGAATGTTTTTCGTCGACGAAAATTTGTATCCGCCCACACTCTCACACACACACGCACACACACATATATGCCAAAATTTTGGAAGCCTTTGAAACAAAGATACATAAAAATTTTCATTTTCGATTTTTTTGCGATTACTATAACTTACCCTACGGGAAGTTAATAAAGTGATCACACGTTTATGAAAGAATTGAAGGAATAGCATCATAAGTTTATATCCTGCTTTTTCACTTTCTTATATTCATTCTAATAAATTTATAACGTTAAAATGCATAAATCAGAATGCATGACCTATTCACGCGAGTTTCCACATTGTATCGTTTATACCGCGACCCGATTTTATTGAATGAGAGAAGACGGCGGCGCCTCTTCGCTTTCGCGGAATACGAAGGTGAAGGAAAAGCAGGAAGAAGATTAAAGACAGCTACTACCGACCACGTGTGTGTATCCTACTGATCTAGATACGCTCAGGAGATTTTATTACCTTGCCATGCTTTCACTAATAGGACAAGAAACTTTAGTTTATCACGTTTACATGTACTTTCAACATTTATGTTGTTTTGCATGCAATTTGGAAACCGTGATAATACTTTTAATTGCTCTGCTAATTATTGTTAGTAATACTGCCTAATTAAAATTTGAGAACGTTTTGATATTCACACCACAGTCTTCGAGGAGATCAGCCTTACCTTCCAAGTTTAATACATTAATATTGCATTTTCTACTTCTCATTCACGCAGAAGAGTCTGGTATGAGAGATCATACAAAATGTCTATAAATAGTATATATTCATTTACATGTCATTATTATATCTAGAATATGACCATTTCAACATTTAATAGTTTTCATTCAATTATTCTACATTCATAAATTGGTCTAATTTATTGGTCTAATCTATTTATGGGGCTGAGTATAAGCTAAGCTAATATAATGAGATATTGTATTTATGTAACGTAGTTATGGAATTTATGTAAACTCTCCTTCGATACTCAGGTTGTTGGGTTATAATTTAACCCTTGTAGCTGTGGACTGTATTAAACACTGATTTGTTTGTTTATTATGTATTTGTTGCAGTTCTAATTACAATCACTGATTTGTTACTAAGTTATAATGAAAGAAGATATATTTATTGGCTATTTAGTATACATGTTGTTTCGCGGACTTTACTTCACTTATAAGTGAGCAATTAGTTCCATTAAAACACTCCGCTACCCCTCTATAAGGGATAGCAACCATTCCGTGTAAAGCTTAATGCCATGAAGGTTGTCATGGCCAATATAATAAAACGAAAACACATCCTAACAGATATATAGGCCGATTCTGCCGTAAAATGTGAGACCACTGTTATGGCAAGGCTATGTTATGTAGCAGTTTACATACAAAGTGGTACTAAAAACTGTCGAAACCATGTGTGGTTGCTGTGCAGTCAGGCCTTTTAGATAGAAAGTCTAACCAAGAAAACAAAAAAAAAAAACGATGATATCATATATGGATCTTTGAGATATAGCTTGCTAGCATATGAGTGCAATTGCATTTTATGTGCAAAATGCCTGATCTCACAGAAAATACATGGCATTTTGACAGTTAGTCCAGTCATTATAGTAAGTTCACTTCGGGATTCGAGATACCCAGCTGTAATTCTGAAAATACTTGTATATTCACACTAAAAAGTTGTCTCAAAACCTACATATGGTAGGGTGTACCTACTATTCTTATCTAATTTAAGTTTAAATGACTGGCCTAAGTATTTAGTAGCATTTTGTATGAAAACTAGAACATAACATAGCCTTGCCATTGGTCTATTTCACGACAGAATCGGCCCATTTATCTCAGCTTATAATATTATTTTATCCTATTTTTAAATTTATACTTTTCTTTGGTTATCTTGTTAAAGTTATTTAATAATGTTACATATTTTCGCTAGATTCATTATCACATTGAAATATGAATCTTAAAAATTATGAATACAATAGTAAATTATCCGTACCGTACAATATTCGTTAAAAAAAAACAATAATAAATAGTATTTTAATATTAAAGTTATTGACAATAGTTGTTTTTTATTTGGCAATCAGAACTTGTCAGAGTTCTGGAAGCTATTGTACTAGGATTGATTGTCTATTCTGTTTGTGATGTTTTTTTTTATTAAAGGCAACTCATTGATTGTCCTTTTTCTACTGAAGTTCATTTGAAACGCGATTTGTACCCTGGATTTTGTAATTAGAAAGCCATACACTTAAATATATATTTATAACGACCAAATTAAAAGTTAAATTGAATAAATAGGTGATCGTGTTCTCATGAATAATAATTTACTACTAATTAAATTTAAGTTTTCTTTACATTTTCAGTGAAAGAATCATAAAATGTCGTTCTCATAAAGGTTATACGTATTAACCTGAGTGAGTACATGAACTCTTGATTTTTAAATAGAACATTTTATTACACATTATATTGATGAAATTTGAAAACTTGCAGCAATATATTAAATTATATGAACTCATTTTTTCTGATCTCATCTGAAAAATACAACA